CGCGACGAAAACAATGTTGAGCAATGGCAATGTCGAATGGTGACACTCGGTAAGTAATCCTACAATTTTTTGTTTATAGCGTAGTTTATACGGATTATTCCCAAAAAATATATACGTATTTTGGAAATGTTGAGTCGGATTAGTCTAGAATCGATTAATTTTATGGAAGAAAATCTTTCAAACAGCCGTAGTCCGTAAACTTGACACGTGTCGGGTTGTGATTGGAAGGATTCGCAAGAAAGCGGATTCCTAGAGAATGGAACGTATCTCTATCTTATAGGGGGGTCGACTGTATTTCTTTATTCATACTGATATTAAATGTCTTAATTATACAGATTTGGACCTAATAAAGTTATTTACGTAAGAAAAAATTACAATTTGACTTTCGTATAATTTTGTAAAGAACGGTTCATTGCATTTTCGCAATAAAATGAAAATCACTTTTAACTTGATTTTATCATTCACTTAAAGCATGTATATTGGGCTGCAATTAAAAAAATTGCAGACTTACAAATTTGCACTTCATTCCGTCTGTTTGTGGGCTTGTCTGTTTTCTCTTTATGTCCAGAATAAAGTCAGAATAATTTGAAACGGATATGCAAATAATAGAAACAGGAGACCCACTTTAAGTATATGAGATCTACCGATAGAAACCAGATGTCACGTTATTTCAATTCAAACATTTATCTCTCAAAGGTTCTGGATAGATGACCGGTACCACTGTTTTGCTACCAGGAAAAGAATATTGTACAGAAGGTAAAAACTTCTAATTTGTGGTTAAGTGTATATATTTTAATCATCACAATACAAGAAAAAAGCTAATATTTGTCGTCACAAGTTGTGGCAATAAATATTAGCTTTTTTCTACATTCTTAGTTCTACAGTCGATGACTTTATTGATAAATAGATTGCTTATTTGTCACATTAACGATTTAAATTTGTAATATGAAAGTAATTACAACTTTGTAAACACATAATTCTGTTATATTTTCACCCTTCGTTTACATTCCGTTTTACTTTGCATTT